AAGAATATGGTCTGCAAATTAAGGAAATCTATCTATGGACTCAAGCAAGCTCCTCGTCAATGGTATCATAAGTTTCAACAAATAATTATCTCGTTCAGTTTTGAGATGAACATTGTTGATGACTGTGTATATCACAAGTTCAGTGGGAGTAAGTATATTTTTTTGGTTCTGTATGTCGATGACATATTGCTTGCCACTAATGATATAGGCATGTTGCATGAAACCAAGAGATTTCTATCAAAAAAATTTTGAGATGAAAGATCTTGGGGACAACTCTTTTATATTAGGGATCCAGATACATCGAGATCGCTCTCGGGGTATTCTTGGATTATCACAAAAGAGCTATATCGATAAGGTACTTAAAAGGTTTGGCATGCAAGATTGCAGACCAGGTGACACCTCTGTTGCTAAAGGAGATAAGTTTAGTCTCAATCAGTGCCCTAAAGGTAACCTTGAAATTCAGGAAATGCAGAAGATTCCTTATACTTCGGCTATAGGAAATCTAATGTATGCTCAGGTATGTACGCGTCCGAATATTGCGTACATTGTCGGGATGTTAGGCAGATACTTAAGCAACCCTAGTATGGATCATTGGATAGCAGTCAAAAGGGTTATGATGTATCTTCAGAAAACAAAAGATTACATGCACACATACAGAAAATCAGAACAGTTAGAGGTCATTGGGTATTCGGACTCTGATTTTGCTGGATGCCAAGATAGCAGGAAGTCTACATCAGGCTACATTTATATGTTAGCAGGAGGAGCTATATCATGGAAAAGTGTCAAACAGACATTAGTAGCTTCCTCTACTATGGCAGCAGAATTTGTAGCTTGCTATGAGGCATCCAATCAGGGAATATGGCTGCGAAATTTTGTCACAGGACTGCGCATTTTGGATAGCAGGAAGTCTACACTATGTACCCTTTATTTGCGCATTTTGGAAAATATTAAAAGACTACTAAAGTTATATTGTGACAATAAATCTGCAGTAATGTATTCCAATAATAACAGGAGCTCAACTAAGTCAAAACATATTGACATTAAGTTCCTGGTTGTGAAAGAAAGGGTACATAGTGGACATATATCCATAGAGCACATTGGGACAAACTCCATGATAGCTGATCCTCTTACTAAGGGATTGCCACCCAAGGTCTTTCATGAGCATACTGCTCATATGGGTGTGGTATTATTTGAGGATATTATGTTTTAGTGGGAGTTTGTATTTGTGGTGCTTTATGTTTGTTTGTATTGTCTGATCAGAATAAAGTTTTCAGTTAAGACACTCTGTTACATTATGTTTGGTTTTGACCTCACTAAGGAGGACCAGTTGAAAATAGACATGTACTGATCACATTGCATGTAATTTTCATGCTGCACATCCATGATTGATCTATGTCGTTTGATTGTATTGGTATATGTGACCATTGATGGGTCGAGTCACGATAAATGTGACGAAGGCCGCTTTGATCCTATATTGATATAGTCAATGGACGAGATTGTTCAGAAATACCTTTTTAGTGAATAGTAATTTTGAGCTCATAAGGTTATACACAATTTAAGGAATCATATGGTGCCCAAGTGGGAGATTGTTGGATTTAATCTAATAAATCTATTTGTGGGCACATATGATTAATCAATGTGTATTGCTATCTTTTAGGATAACCCACTAAAGTGATCAATCAAGTTGGATTAATAGGTATTTAAATAAGTCATGGGGTTATATGTGTAAATACCAGGTTGAAATTGTGATTTGTTGAGGGGCTAAATTACAAAAGTACAACATCTATAAATAAGGGGTTATGGTCCCTAATCTAGGGTTACACTCTCTAATTCTCTTCACCCCCATCTTGAGAGAAAATTCGGCTATAGAGAAAACCCTAAGGTTAGAAGATCCAAAACCCATCTCAGGTTTCATCTATGGATTCAGGTATAAGCTTCCGCTCTTTTGATTATTGTTAATCTCTTCGAATTAATCATGGCTTTATGGTTTTAGATCTCAAGTTTTTATTTAGATATAACAATTTCCTGATGTGAGTAAGAATCTTGTACATGCACGATGGCTGTCACTACTCGAGGATTTTTATGTTTGTGACACTCTATCATGGGGTAGTGCAGTCTTGGCATACATTTATAGAGAACTAGGCAAAGTCTCCTTGATGCAAAATAAAGAACTCAAGGGGTGCATGACATTACTGTAGGTTTGGTCATGAGAACACATTCATATTGGATGACCTATTTTGCATGTGCATCGCGATCTACAGGGCTAGTTTCCTTTGGGATGCATGTATAATTATGCATAAATTTAAAATTATTTATCCCGCCTAATTTTATTCCTATTGATTTTGTTCTCATATATTCGTTATGCCAAATAAGTATAATGTGAGGCACTCTAAATACAAAACCATGACTAGACATATAGAGTTTTACAGAAATGAGCTTGATGGCCTCCATCACCAACATGTTAATATAAAACTTAATTCATTATTATATTTTAATTTTTCTGTAGATGCTGATAAAAGTTTTTGCTAATTCCAATTTAAGTGGGCGCCTTATTCCCCGCCAAATCTTGATATGCATACCCTTGCACCTATCTGTAGAGATAGCGCTGCTTTGTGAAAAGCCAGAGTCCCATTGATATGTTGGGAGAGTGTATAGATGCATGTCCCAGATTGTGTGTTACGACAATTTCTTCTTTTTCAGCATGTGCCGAATCCTGTTGAGCAAATCGATCGTAGGCGACAGATGACATCACATCGTACAAACTGGGGCATATTTCGTGTGGCCTACATAGACAGGTTGAACAATAGGTAAAATTTCATACAGAATGAGAGAATTCTAGCATATGGTTATACCGCGTATATGCATTGGTATTAGAATATTATACACAAATGGATAGGAAACGACCCACAACCAACAGCTGGATGCGTACCACACCCACTGATAGATGGTTACATCCTTAGTGTCATGATCGAGATGGATTATGTAAGTTTTTAAACTAAATTAAAGCAACAATTCTTCTTTGTCAATATATTATTTGTGAAATTTACGTGTATGATTATGAATTTCAAGAATGTATATGGTTAGATTGTTCAAATTTGTTGCTTGTGTGGATCGATTTTGTATGATTATGAATTTCAAGAATGTATATGGTTAGATTGTTCAAATTTGTTGCTTGTGTGGATCGATTTTTGTTTATATATGTGATTTTCGTGGTATATGGTTAGATTGTTCAAATTTGTTGCTTGTGTGGATCGATTTTTGTTTATATATGTGATTTTCGTGCGTATTGTTTTGATTCATGGTTGAATTTTATGAATATTGTTGTAATTTAATATATATGCCGTAAATTTGATGTTTATGGTTGGATTTTCATGTATATTGTTGTGAATGAGGCAGAAATTTTATTATATACAACAGGTTTTGGATTGTGAAATTTACAGGCTCATTAGGTGAAACATGCACACATTCTGTGCATGTTTTAGGGAACCTGCAGCTCTACGGGATTTCAAATCCCGTGAAGTTGTAGACCCAATTCCCAGAGAGCCATTGCTCTCTAGAGTTGACGCTTGCATCTTCACGGGATATGTAATCCCGTGAAGTTTCACCTTTATGGGATTTTAAATCCTATGAAGATGTGGCTTCCAACTTACCCCCACTAACCCATGCTCTAGTTTGGCCTTAAACTTCACGGGATTTAAAATCCCGTGAAGTTTTTGATATTTTTTCGCCATTTTCGACCCAATTTCAGCCACCAAATGACAAATATTTTTAAAAGAGGTCGTTTTTTGAAAATAAGTTTCTAAAAAGGTCTATTTTGAAGATTTGTTCAATCCTATATGGTAGAAGGGTTTGGTTATTACTTAAACCCGTTTATGGACCCGACCCGATAACGTTAAGTTCACACAGGTTGATAGCTTTGAGTTGGGCGCAGTTTGGATAACCCAGCCTACCCAAATTATAGTAGGAGTATTGATTAATTGATTGCTTAGATTTGATTAAAACAGTTGTTTTTTATTGGATCCGTCGGGGTGCAAATAAACCAAATGTTTAACAAATGGTTTGGTATTTATTTGGTTCATAAGAGAATGGAATTTAATTTAATGGGTTATTTGCATATTTACCCCTTACGTCATGTGTATTTGTAAAAATACCGTCCAATATCAATGTCTGTAAAACTACCATTCAAATCATCAATTTTGAAAAAAAAAACCTTCAGAGCAATTAATCATCAACTTTAATAAGCTGATTTGTAATTGCAATGCAAAAAAATATCAACAAATTAGTCAAAATTTTAACTCCAAGTTAACGATTTATTTATTTTAGGAGTATTTTTCATAGATACCAAGACCTTGGGTATTTTTTGCAAATACCTCTGATTTGAGGGGTAGTTTTGCAAATACTAAGACTTTGGGTATTTTTGTAAGTACATATGATTTATGGGGGGTACATATGCAAATAACCATTGTTTAATAAACTATTCATTCGTATATTACACTTTAGACCTATAAATTTAGTTGCTATAATTTCTATGCATTCCAAAAAGTTTATTACACAAATAGCCTCAAATAAGTAGTTTTTGATTTGTGAATATTACATTCACCAATATTTTGCATATTCACTGGTTGGATCATGTTTAGCTGCATTATAAGATTAGAATATGATAACAAATATTTATCATATATTTACCAAATATCTATTGAATAAGAACCGAATGATTCACAAAATGCTTCATAAAGACTATTAACGAATATTCACGAACTTTTGTCGAATTTTAAATACTAGTCGAATAGAACCGGAATACACATTTCCTATTTTGGTTTGAATTTGGAATACGAATTGGGAATAGTCCCACATGCTAACCGAATAGGAATGCTGTGGGAGCATTCCACTTAATTTTGGTCAAGAAAGTGGTCACGAATCGTGCACTCTAATCGCTAACATAAGCCAAACATTCGGGTTAGACTAATATAATATAATTACGCGTCTAAATCCTAACACGATCCACGGAGAATGCCGACCCACTTTCTTCCCTTCATCGAACTAGGAACCTTCGGACAGCAAAGATAATTCCCCCCCTCAACTCTCTCTATCTCAATCTCAACCCCGATCCCTGCATATATCTTCATAAAAAATCGAGATCTACGACCAAAGAAATGGCGAATGAATTGGATTCTCTCATCTAGATCCGAGCGTATAACGAAGCCCTAGAAGAATTCTAATGGCGGGCGCCGTGTCGGCGCTGTTCCTCCTCGATATCAAGGGGAGGGTCCTTGTTTGGAGAGATTATCGCGGCGATGTCTCCGCTGTCCAGGCCGAGAAATTCTTCACGAAACTCATCGAGAGGGAAGTAAGATCTCTGTTCTTTGTTTGACTTCGGAGCTTGGATTTTTTTTTTTTTGAGGTTTCATTGTTGGATTCGTGATGAATTATGTTGGATCTAGTAATTTTGTTATTAATTGCGGATGATTAAATTCATTTTGAGTAGAAATGTGAGATCTGATGCTGTGCTGATGCGAGTTTGGGTGCTGGATTGCTCAGTGATAGAACCAGTGTGATAGATTGGTCAAAATTTTATAACATTGCAGCATGTCGCGAGCAGATACCTAGTTCTTGGATCTCGCTGCTTTCATGTGGCTGATAAAAGTTGTTATTTGTTTCTTAGATTAGTTCAGAACAGGAAGTTTAAATGCTAAAGAACTTAAATTTGTTTGGTTTTACCTGATTGGATGACCTACCGTCAAATTTTCTCTTGAAGTGTGATGCGCGTGCTCAGGGAGAATCGTTGCTTTAACATAGGTTTTGAACTTTGAATTATAATGTTGGTGTTTTATGCCAAATTATATTGTTTGAGTGGGGTTTCTGCAGTTATGCTGCTGGATTGAGGAAGACAAAGGGAAAGGTGATTTAAGTCAATGAAATAGAGGGGGAGAGAATCATTTACACAGAAGAGAGAAATGACGTAATGAAAATTTCAAGGGTCATAGGTAAGCATATGTGGATCTGTCGTGATGGGTACAAGAATGCACTAAAAAAGAAAGTGTGGTAACAGGGAGGGGGCTTAGTTTGTTACGTGGAGTCCCAGGAAATGTGCTGACGTCTACATTCCGGTGTTACTTGGGAAAGGATTTTTTTTATGTATTCAAATCACTCTTGTTGTTAATAACAAGGAAAACAATTATGAGATTTTTTTACTACTCACTAAACCTTTTATTACTGTTAATAAATTTTATCATATTTAACGTAGAACTGTTAAAGGGAGATGTATTTCTGTAAAATTATCTGTTGGTAGAATATCCATGTACGGGCAGTAAATATTTGCATGTTAAAATGTTGGAAGATCACAATAAATATATGAAAGCATGAGCATAGCTGAAATGTGGTTGTTGAAATAACTAAACAGCAGTATGAAAAAATTGTAGACGCATTATCTGAAAGCTAAGAGATAAGCAACAATGCACTCCAAGTGAATCACATAGTCTCCTTATGTTCCAATACTGTAATGGTTTCATGCTATTCTAGAGTAAGAAAATCTAGCATTTATTTATTGGTGTTGTGAAGATTTGCCAGGCTTTGCTTCTAACCTTGATTACGTTACTGACCCAAGTTGTCAACCTGAAATAAGACAGGATTCTGAATAACTACAATGTAGGTTGCTGGATTTTAGTAGAGAAAGAACTGTGTCCCTATGGGAATAAGGTTACACGTATATGTATTTTGTTGCAAATTCTGTAGTAAAGACAGACCCATTTATGCATTTCTCACTAACTTGATTATTTCTAATGTTGTATTCTTGATTCTAAAAATTTGTATTTTTTCCGTTGACTCTGAGAACAATGACATCAAAAACTTGGGATATAGGCTTTGTTGTTGTTGGCTTGTTGCTATTGGTTTTGAGAAGGTCTGGATTTGGGATTCCTTTGTCCCCCTTCTTTTTTCTGCATGATGTTTCATTTTTTTGTTCTCAAAGCCGACTAAAATGAGAAGCAAAAGTTTTTAGCAAAGAAATATTACGGGTGGAGTGGAGCCTTGTATCAGCCATCAGAAATTTTGTGTGTTCTACTGCAAGATATAGTATAGATTTTAGAGGTAGTGATATTCTATTTCTCTATTTCAATTTGATTGAAAGACAATGCTTGCCTTTTGATTTTTCTAGGGTGATCCAGAGTCCCATGATCCAGTGATGTGTAATGATGGAGTGAGCTACATGTTCATACAGCATAACAATGTTTTCTTGATGACTGCTTCGAGGCAAAATTGCAATGCTGCCAGTATTCTTCTTTTTCTACATCGTGTTGTTGATGTGAGCTCTCGCTCCCTCCCTCCTCCCTCCCTCCCCCTCCCCCCTACCCCCCTCCTTCCCTAACACACACATCCCTCCCCATCTTTTGGTGCCTATTTAATGGATGTTCGTCTTTTGAGGTAGTGATCTGAATTTTTCCTTTGCCTTGCAGGTTTTCAAACATTATTTTGAAGAACTAGAGGAGGAGTCACTAAGAGATAATTTTGTTGTTGTGGTAGGAATGCAAATCATAATATTAATGTCTTCTAGTAAATATGGGTTGCACTTTCTTTCCGACAGATGTACAGTTAATTGTTAGTAGATGCATTTTTTAAATTTTTTTGGCAGTATGAGTTACTTGACGAGATGATGGACTTTGGGTATCCCCAATACACGGAAGCTAAGATTCTTAGTGAGTTTATCAAAACAGATGCATACAGAATGGAAGTTACACAAAGACCTCCTATGGCTGTAACAAATGCAGTGTCATGGCGCAGCGAAGGGATACGATACAAGAAAAATGAAGTAAGTTGGATCCTACCAGTTTTTAAACAACTTTAAGTTGTCATTTATCACAGAAGTGTTTTGCTTGTTTACCCAGGTTTTCTTGGATGTAGTAGAGAGTGTTAATATTCTTGTTAACAGCAATGGCCAAATTATCCGTTCAGATGTTGTTGGAGCATTAAAAATGAGAACATATTTGAGGTAAGCGGCAAAGGGGAAAGTACTCTTCTACTAGCTTTAGTATGCTTTCAGTCTTTACAACCTTACTGAGGTCAGATGTTTCCTGTTGTTTGCAAGTATAGAAGAAGAAACAAGAGAAGAGAGGACATAAAATTTAGAGTGAACCTACACAATAGCTTTATAATCCAATGATTTAGAGTTAGCAAGATGGAAACCAGAAAAAAATGGATTACTTTTTAGCAAGTCTGGAAGAAGAAACAAGGGTAAACTTTATATTGGGGGTCAAAATAGCCAATCCTAACTATTTAGTATACTTGGTTCAGTTATTCATCTTGATGATTCATAAAACTTTAAATGCTTAAGAGAGGAGATACACTTCTGAATTTCTATGCAATTAACTAATTATGTCATGCTTGTGAAGTTGAAGGAAAATTTTAATAGCGTTTAATCAAAGCATCTAATGTTTGTCAGAACTTTAGGCACTAAGAAATGAGTCAAATGACATGCCGAAAACATTAGTTTTCCCCTGATTATTTTGTGATGTTACTTAACTTAGGATCATCCAGAGAGTACCATTGCAGGAAGCTCATATCTTGGAGCATATTATAAGCAAGCAATTGTGCTAATCAAGATGCAGATCCTTGTTCAGTTGATATATCAGCTATCTGCGTAGACTTGAAGTTTGAGTGGTGAATTGGCAAATACTTGTGTTTGTTCAGGACAGTGACCTGAAAGCTCTCACTTTCTATGCCCAAGCTGGTTAGATGTAGTCGCTTCCCATTGTCCTCTTACCTATGATGCAGACACCAGGTGTAACAGATTGATATTTAAACGAGAGAATTACAACTTTAATAGAATTTTTTATGGAAGCACCGGGTTTTAAGAGAAGCTTATATCTGGATCTACCATTTTTAGATATTGCTCTGAATCTGATTCTCCATGTTCAGAATCTGAAATTAATTGGACTAAATGAGTACATTCCATAACATGCATGACACACCTTATTAAGGTGCTCAAGGCTAGTGATGTATTGGATCAATGGTGAATTTATTTTGTTCATTTGTGGCATGTACAATTTAAACTCAGACGCCCTCCTTCAAAACTAATCTCTAAGAGGGATCTACTTATATTTATATTGATGTTTTCCTATATGCCTTCCGTATCTACATTTCTAGGGCTAATGTTTTTTGAAAAGCAAAGTGACTAATCTCAAATGCGTTGTTCAGTGGAATGCCAGAGTGTAAGCTTGGCCTGAATGATAGAGTGCTTTTGGAGGCTCAAGGTCGGACCACAAAGGGGAAAGCCATAGATCTGGATGACATCAAATTCCACCAGTATGTGGCTTAGTCTTAGATCGTGATTTTCATTACTTTTTCCCGTACATCAACATTTTTTATGACATTTGAGATCTCATACATCTCAATTAATGGTAAGGTGTGTGCGCTTGGCCCGATTTGAGAATGACAGGACTATATCCTTCATACCACCTGATGGGTCTTTTGATCTGATGACATATCGACTCAGTACTCAGGTATGCCTTTTGCTTTCTGCTTACTAGTGCTGTAGAACTACTTTCACATGTAAAGTTCCCTAAAAGATAGGATCTTAGATATGAACCAGTTGTCATCAAAATAAGCTACAAACTAGAATTTGTTTTGGTCAAAAACAAATGCTATATTTGATAAACTATGACAACCAATTGATTTTGTTGTAGATTCATTTAAATAAGGTTCAGACATCCCTCTCAACTTTTCTTGTAGTCATAGATGCAGAAAGTTCTGGCTTTTTTTAACTGCATCTTTATAGACCTAAGAGCTATTATCTTCATCAACTCTAAAGTCTCTTAAGTCCGTTTCAAATGTTGATCTGATAGGTAAAACCTTTAATATGGGTGGAAACTCAAGTTGAGAGGCATTCAAGAAGCCGCATAGAGCTCATGGTAAAGGCGAAGAGCCAATTTAAGGAAAGAAGGTACCCTTTGAAGTTGATTTGAATTCTTCAATTTTCGAACCTTTAGCTTCTCTTAGCCTTTATGATGCAATGAGATGTTTTCTTCCTCCTTTTTTGTGCAGTACTGCTACGAGTGTGGAAATTGAAGTGCCAGTGCCTCAAGATTCTACCAACCCTAATGTACGGACTTCTATGGGTTCCGCTGCATATGCGCCAGAAAAAGACGCCCTGGTCTGGAAAATAAGATCCTTCCCTGGTGGCAAGGTATCTGGAAAACTTCTTTCAGATAATTTTTAGACAGATGTTAGAAGGTTACTTGTTTAAAACTGAGCAACACCTCCAAGTGACAAATCTTCCTCGGTTGGATGTGGTTGAGGGAATGGTTAAAAACACAGACTTATCTTACACTTAGAAACAAAAACTAAACTTTCCTTGAATCTGTTGAGTTAGGGTTGCCAGTGAGATCTGTCCTATGCTTAGCCTGGACACTGCACACTGTCACGCAATATGTTGAATTTATCAGAATTAAACTTGAGAGTGCTACTTGATGAACTGCCTGGTTTAGTATGTCACTTGATGGTGAGCCATTTTGTTTGTGAATCCCATCGGTTGGCTTTTTAAGTTGTATGCCATCAAAAGTGGGGCCATAATTCTCACTGAAACTAGAAACTATGTCATTAGGCTGACCTTTCATTGTCTGAATCCAGCTTTTACACGAAGTCCAGATGGATTGTGTTGGAAGATATAGATGTCTTTGTTTTATGAGGGTCCCAATCCTTCTTTGTGTGGCTCACTTGTAATCAATATTGATTGTGCAGGAGTATATGTTGAGGGCAGAATTAAGCCTCCCCAGCATAACTTCTGAAGAAGCTACACCAGAGAAGAAGGCTCCCGTCCGTGTAAAGTTTGAGATACCGTATTTTACTGTATCTGGAATTCAGGTATTCTCTTTTGCCTTTCTGCATAATATGGTTGTGGTTACAACTAAGCATCTGTTTAAGTCACTTAAATTGTATTCTTCACTGCAAACTGCTGGTTGTTACTGGTTGATGACAGATTTATGGTAACCTGCTATATAGGCGTTCAAGAGGCTAATCTTATTGTTTGTCCTCATGAAGAGAAAGAATGTCAAATTATATAACATCAGCAAATGACTAATGTTAATTTAAGGAGGGTTATTAACATCTTCTTTGTAACTTTGATTTTTCAAAATAATCTCCATTAGGTCTGCAGTAGATGGATGCTTTCAAGAATTTACCTGATAGAAATCCTGCATGAGAAGAGCTTTTGCTAAAACTTTAGCAGTTTCTTGAAACCTTGCCTCAAATATGAAACTTTATTTGTTTTATGCATCATTGCTTTGGTATTTGATAGCATTCTTTAAATGTTTCGTCCAATTCTGTATACTTACGTAGCCCTATTTATATATTGAAAGGCTAATAAATATGATTGGCTCAATTCAACATCAATCTTGTAGGTTCGGTACCTGAAGATTATTGAGAAGAGTGGATATCAAGCTCTCCCATGGGTGAGATACATAACAATGGCAGGCGAGTATGAACTGAGAGTTATGTGAAGCATTTTTCGCGTGAAGATGTTTGTTTATATAAAAGCCAACACAAGCTTACATTTGCATAAGAGCTTTTGAATGTGGGTCTGAACTTAGTACGAACACCAGCGATTATTATTTCCATCGGAGGGCAGAAGTTTCACTTTTTCTGCTACCAGTTAATGTTATCCGACATATGTAATAGCGAACAAGCAGCGAAGAACATACAAGCATACATTTTTTTGGGTCATGGTGGTCTGGTTAATGCCCTTGTTTTGTTTTTTCCCCCTCCCTTGTATCATGAGTGGGTTGTATTTTTGTAACTCCTAGTTTGTTCAGATGAGATTTGATTATAGCTTGCATTTGTGATCATTCTAGCATTTTGACAGTAATACT